GTGCATGTTAGGAGGTAGGAAGTTATATCCTGTGATTGTCATTACCTCTGTTTTGAAGTTCTATAAAGTGAGAAGGTGAAATACTCCCTTTGCTGCAACACTACTATGGCAAAACCCTTAAATTCACCCTAAAAAATTATCGGTATGGATACATCCACTCTTAAAGAAAAAACAAGATAAATTGTCCCTTCAAATCATAAATCAATACAAATTATTTCTTTTTTAACGAAAAATATCAAAATTTTATTTGCCATGTCAACATTTTTTAACGAAAAATATTAAAAAAATGATGACTTGTATTGATTTATGATTTAAAGGGACAATTTATTTTTGCTCTTTTTTGAAGAGTGGATATGTTCTACCCATATTTTTTTTAGAGTGGATTTGAGGATTTTGCCCACTACTATAATCTCCCACCTTGCCTTGCCGAGGTTTGCCATAATTACTAATTAGGCATACACGGATATTTTGTCTCTTTCATTTGGGCTGCGCCAGAAGGCTGGCAATCACTAACCGTTTTCATTCAATTTGCGTGCTTGATTATATACCAAAGCTTTCCCATGTGCTAGCTTTCACACCTGCAACTTGTTCCAACCTTTTCTTTTTTCTATCCGTTTTATTGAATTTCGAAGCAAAATAAAAAACAAATGCTAATCCCCTTTTGGTATATTTAATAATACATTATATAAGATAAAACAGTCCTCTTATTTTTTAATTTTAAAAAAAAAAATTTAAATTTTTAACTTAAAATTTTATATTTTTAACTGGTTAAATCACTCTTTTCAGAGACAATAATGTTGATCTTTCAACATGATTTGCAAGTTTTTATTTCTCAATATCCTCCATCCAACGTTGAGCCAAAGTGTAGAGTGGGGATGAACTTTGCATTTGATAATTCTGTAGGTTATTTTTCTGGCATGCTAATTTTGTCGTTGAGAGACAAGCATGTCCTGTGTGTCTTCGCATAATTTCTTTAGTTTGAAAAGGGTGCTTGCGGTCTGTTGCATCAGTGTCATTCCCCCACACCTATCCACCAATCCAAAGGGTGGTATGGACTTATCTCTAGGGTTGAGGTTTCTTTTTCGCGAAGTTGAAGGGGGAATGCATTGAATTTTAGTTGAGGGAAACTGTTGACAACTTCATTTTTCAGTTTTTTGTTGACAATTCGATAGCTATTATTTGGTAAAACACAACTTAGATAGGTAATAGTTTATGCTATCTGTGGGGCCTTTTATTTTTTATTCCCCCTCCCTCCCCTAGTCTTGTAGCTGCAACAATAGAACACAAACATGCGA